GGAGCTCACCAGCAGGCCGAGAGTGCCATGAGGGAGGATGGGCAGGGAGGAGGGACTAGGAGGCCACCCCGACCGCCCTCACAAGTTCGAGAGCCGCCCTGCCCACAACCTGCGCGCCCAGTTTCAGAACCCGCCTCACCAGGGTCTGGAGATGCCCTTTCCAGCTGTCTGGGGAAACTGAGGCTCAAAGGGGGGAAGGCCCTGGCCCAAGGTCACGCAGCCCTGAGGCGTCCAGGGCTCCCAGTTGGACACTCCGCCAGCCACATCGCCCCACCCTGGACCCCCAGCTGCCGGCGTGGGTGGAGCTGGGCGGCTCACGGTTCCCTCCACGCCTGAGAGGACAGGATGGCCCCCAACTAGCGAGGGGCACCTCCCCCTGCTGCTGTAACCCCGGCTCCGGACCCTCCAGTCACGTGAGGCGGGAGCTCCGGGGACCCCTGAGGCTCATGTCCCCCCTTCCAGGCCCTGTTGCTGGTGGTGGCCTTGGCCGGCGTGGGCCTGGGCCTGAGCCTCATTTTCATTGCTGTCTACCTCATCCGCTTCTGCTGCTGCCGGCCCCCAGAGCCCCCTGGGGCCAAGAGCCCCCCGCCTGGGGGCGGCTGTGTCACCTGGAGCTGCATCGCTGCCCTTCTCGTCGGCTGGTAATGGGGCCCCAGGATGGGTGGGCCGTGGGGACAGGGCACTCTGCCAGTCTTCCAGGAGGTGTCTGGAACCGCACGGCAGCCTCACAGCCCAGAGGGACCGTTCCCGCTGGCGGGCTGGGGAAACTGAGGTCCAGGGGCAGTAACTTCTCAAAGGGCAGCAGGCCCACCTCCCACAAGACAGGGTCCCGGCCAAGACCAGGCAGTCAGGCTGGGTTGGTGGCTCCCGTAGTGACAAGGTGTGTGGCCTGTTTCTGCATGTCTAAGTGGTCACTACAGTGCACCGCCCCCAGGGACGGACAGATTGGACGGGGCACTGTGGCCTGGCCCACGTCTGTGCACCTCTGAGTTAGCTGGTGATGGCGCTCACTCACTCATACAGCTTCTTCCTGAGCACCTACTGTGTGCCAGGAGCTACTGACCCCACCTGGCCAGGCCAGGCCCTGCCCCAGGGAGACAGACGCCAAGAGCTGTCTGCAGCCCGGAGCTCCTGCCCATGCCCAGTAAGTGCAGGCCCGGGCTGTGGCATGGCTTCTCAGGGGTCTGCGCAGAGGAGGAGGGGGAAGGCCTTGGTCAAGTGGATACTCAGACCCACAGACCCAGCGGGCCCAGGGGGCCCTCTGGGACACCCCTAGGAGGGAGGAACCAGGCACTCGGGCAGCCGCTGAGGGCAGCCACTGATCGGGAGCCAGCTCTCGGGAGCCAGCTCTCGGCAGGGCCTGGCCCCAGTCAGCCCCACCCGCAGGCTCCGCTCTCCGCTTCCTTTGCGGGGTAGGGGCGGCCTGGGAGCCAGCTCCCACCCCCTCCCCAGCTGGTTTCTGCCACCCCTTTCACTCAGGGAGCCGCAGTGTGTGTCTTGGGGGTGTACGTGGGGGTGGAGGGATGGCATCCCATCCCAAGATGCTTCCTCTTCAGGCTCCCCCAGTGGGGGTGGACGGGGGAGGTGGACAAAGGCCCGGGAGAGACACAGCCCAGTCCCCCGCAGCCTGGGAACAAGAGCAGCTTTGTAGGAGTGTGAACAATGGGGCGGGGGCCCTGGGCAGGGTGTCAGGTCCCACATCCCGGGCTGGGGGTAGGAGACTGCCAGGCGGGGGCTGGCAACCGTGCCGGCCTCCCCTGCCCCGCTGGGCCCTGGGCCCTCCGCGGGACACTCGGAGGGGGCGGCTGAGGGGGGCCTGTGTTCAGGCCCACAAGGGAGCTCTGTGTGCTGGCCGCAGCGGGCGGGGCTGGCCCCTCGCACATTCCCTAGCTGTCCTCCCAGCTGGCCAGGCTCTCCTCCGGGCTCTGGGGGTGGGAGTGGGCTGGAAGTCCAGTTCAGGGTGCCCCTGGACTTGGTGCCTGGGGGCCTGCGTGCCCATGACCCCCAGGAGGCAGGAGAGGGGCCGCCTGGCCCTGCAGGGCCTAGTGCCAAGGACTGAGACGTCTGCAGCCGCGAGGGGACCGGTGAGGGGCCGCAGCCTCCAGGCTAGGATCCCCACCCCGGGACTGGCTGGGCTCCGGTGAGGTGCTGGTTAACTCCGGAGCACCCTCCCCCCCCCACTCCACCCACCATTAGCATCACAATGACGTGCCTGGCCGGGGGAGTGGGGGGGCCTTCCCATCACCTTGGCAACGGAGGGGGGCAGGCTGGAAGTCTCTTTCCCACCACAGCCTGGACCAATGGGGTGGGGGTGGGAGCCGGTGGGGTGTGTGAGGGGCGGGAAGGCGTCCCCCAGGGTCCCAGGGCTGTGGTTCCCTCCCTTCACAGCGCCGGCATTGGCATCGGTTTCTATGGCAACAGCGAGACCAGTGACGGGGTGTCCCAGCTCAACTCGGCCCTCCTGCGTGCCAACCACACGCTCAGCGCCATCGACTACCTGGTGAGGCCAGCCTCAGACCCATCCCCACACTGGACCCCGCACGCCCTCCTGCGGGACCGGGACCCCGAGTCAGTCAAAACCCAGACCGAGACTGGGCACCCTCAGCTCGGACTTTTAGGTTCAAACCTGCAGACGTGGGACCGCACACCGGCACCCACTCTAGGCTGCCCGTTAGGACCTTGCAGCTGCAGCCAAGCAGCCCCCAGGTCGGGGTTCAGGGGTCGGAGCCCCCCCACAGGCCCTAGACTTCATGACCAGTTGCAGTCCCGGAACTAGGAGCGCAGAACTGAGGCCCCGACTCAGAGTGACGGACGCCAAGGTCACGCCCAGGGATCCAGACTCTGCCTGGGCTCAAGCCAGAGTCCCCACAGCCCCCGGATCTCAGCCCGCGGGCCGGCTGCACCCCACAGTGCTGTCTCCAAACCCAGGCTCTGCCCGCACACCCTCTGCTGAGCCTCTGCTGACCGCAGCCCCTGTGCCCAGGTTTTGGAGACGGTGGAGCGGCTGGGCGAGGCCGTGAGGTCAGAGCTGACCTCTCTGGAGGAGGTGCTGGCGCAGCGCACGGAGCTGGTGGCCGCGGCACGGGGTGCCCGGCGGCAGGCGGAGACCGTGGCCCAGCAGCTGCAGGGCCTGGCCTTCTGGCGGGGCGTGCCCCTGAGCCCCACGCAGGTGGCCGAAGACGTGTCCTCTGTGGAGGAGTACAGGTGAGCGGCGCCCTCCGCCCAAGGGCCCCCGGGGCTCACGCCCAGCACGCGGCAGGCCTGGCCTCGCCGGGTGTCCTCGCTGGGAAGGGCGCGCGACAGGCGCGCAACAGGCTCGCGGGGAGGTCGGCTGGGAGGTCGGCGGGGAGGTCAGCGGGGAGGTCGGGCTGCCCTACAGTGCCGCAGCCGGCCCCGGCCGAGCACCGCCCGGTCCCTGGCCGGCAGTCGGGGTTGAGAGAGGACTGGAGAGGCGGGCCGAGGGGCTCTCCGCGTGTCACCCTCGCGCGCTCCTCCCCTGGCCTGCACGCACTGGGCCCACGGCCGCCCTGCGGATGTACACGCTCCACAGGAGTGTGCTTAGCGGCGGCTGAGAGGCGGCCCCCGGCTAGGAGGGAGAGCGCCGAAGCCAGACGGCCCTCCCTGAGACCCTGAGCGCCTGGGGAGGTCAGGGTCTGTGCAAGGGGTCATGTCACAGGCCTGCGGTGACAGGTTGCCCGCCCGGGGCCACGCGAGCAGGGCTGGTGGTGGGAGAGGAGGAGAGAGCAGAGACCCTGCGGAGGCGGGATGACCCTCCCCCGCCACCGTGGGCCAGTCTGTGTGGCCAGGAGCCAGGCGTGGTGCCGTGGCCTCCGGCGTGACCCCGCAGCCTCCCAGGCATGGACTCACCTCCAGCAGTCAGCGTGTCCTGGGCCCCTCTAAGCACGTGACGCCTTCTCCCCCGAGCAGCCTCACAGCAGGGGAAACTGAGGCACAGGAGGCAACGTTACTGAGTGAGGAAGTAGGGGGCTGGCTTGGAGCCCAGGCAGGCTCTTCTGGGGCGCACAGCGCCCTCAGCGTCCCCGCTGACTTCTGGAGCCTGGGCATGGCCTTCCTGCTTGGCAGGGCCCGCGACCCCGAGTCCGGGTCACAGCTCGTGCATGTGGTCCCAGCCCCGGGACCTCTGTGCCCGGACAGGGCCACCTGCCAGGGCTCCCGCTAGGGACGAGCTGGGCTGTAGCCCCAAGGCCCGGGCAGGCGCGTGGCCTTGGGGTGCTGGCGCCGTGCTCGCTCACCCTGGGCCCCCGCCCCGCAGGTGGCTGGCCTACATCCTGCTGCTGCTCCTGGAGCTGCTGGTCTGCCTCTTCACGCTCCTGGGCCTGGCCAAGCAGAGCAAGTGGCTGGTGATCGTGTGAGTCTGGGCAGCCCTCCCCGGGCAAGGGGCTGGGCCAGTGCGGGCACCCGTGTCTGTCCACCACCCTCGCGGGGGGCCGGAGGCAGCAGCCGCCAAGCCCACGCTGGGTGACTATTGCGTGGCTCCGTCTGGCTGGGTCGCAGGCCCCCTCCTCCCTGATGGCTCTTCTCGCCGCGCGACTTCTGTAACCCCTGGGCTGCCCCCCAGACCTAGAGGCGGCGGGTCCTTCTCCCCGTCCTCAGAGGGGCGGGTAGTTTGCGCAGGTGGCTGCAGCCGGAAGTGCTGGAGCAGGGTTAGGACTGAGGCAGCCGACCCCATCTGAGGAGCGCTCAGTCTCCTGCTTCTGGCTTCTGGGGGGTCATGCTGAGCCCACCATGACTCCATACTTCCTGCCCCCCCGCCCCCCCGTGAGACATCCTGCCCTTGCCCCCCCACCCCAGACTCAGACTCACTGGCCAGACGGTTTACTCTGGGGCCCTCGGGGTGCCTTCCCGCTTGCTGACTCCGGACTAATGCTGATGCCCCGAAACCCATCCCTAGAGAAGCCAGGAGGCTATTTCCTGAGCTGTCTCCGCTCCTGGGAGGAGGAGTCTACTAGGCAGAGGGGGGCTGACCAAGCTCTGGGGAACCCTGAGCCCCCGGTCCCTGCGATTCAAAGCCCAAACTTGGATAAATGGAGCCCAGCGGTGGACAGTTACTGGCCCCCCTGTCCAATCCCAAAGCAAGGTTGGGGGCAGAGTCTGACGGGGGTTCAGTCTGGGTCTGCCAGCCCAGGGCCCCCTCCCTTCACCCTAGGAGGGCCCAGACGGTCACTCTGATGTCACCACTGGCCTCCAGCCCCCATTTCTGCCTGATTCTGATCTTCCAGATTCCAGAAGCTGGTAGGGATGGAGGAGGGGCTATGCTTGGCTTGGGGTGCAGGAGAGGAGGCAGTGGGGAGAGTCAGAGCTATGCAACCCCACTCCACCCCACAGGATGACAGTGATGAGTCTCCTTGTTCTCGTGCTGAGCTGGGGCTCAATGGGCCTGGAGGCAGCCACTGCTGTGGTGAGTGCTGGGGCCGCAGGGGTTGGCACCTAGATCTGGGGTGG